ACACACACACACACACACACACACACACACACTCACACACATACACACACATACACAGGAAAGCGCACACACCACTACTCACCCATCGTCTGAATATGTAGAATCTTGTCGTAGATTTCGTCAGAGAGCTCCATCACAGCTCTGCTTGCACTGACCATCTGAGACGAGGACAACAGGAAACAGGGACTCTGTTAAAACAACATGAATACTGGCACACACACAAACATGATGCATTATTAGCCTGCTGAACTGTTTGTGAAAAAGTTGTTGGGTTTTTGTGCATAACCCACACTCAGTGTTTCATTACCAAGTGTGAGAACTAAAAGGCAAAAACACTTTTTTAAATATAAAATATGTGTTAATATTCACGGTGAGACGAAACACTATTAATAAGTTCCACTTCTGCTGGTTGCAAAAATAAATAAAAAGTAATAACTACACACAAAGAGGATGGATGTGAGAAAAACAGTCTGATTAGTTCTGCACTTCCTCTCAACCATTCTGCTGGGACTTGACCCCCTGGTGAGGGGAAAAAAAGTTGAAAAGGGATCTTTGCAACAAAGGATCAACTAGAGCTAAATCCCGTTCAAATGGACAACACACGCATTTCCTGTCTGAAGTGAGGAGAGGGCTTCATTTAGCTCAACAACAATTAAATCTATTCAGCACCAGGGTGACCTTTTCCAGCTCTGAGCTGCTCGGCTGGAACGGAAGAGGCAAAGAGACATACAAGCCCACATGCACATTCTTACTTCGACCCATGGTGTACCAGTGTGCAGACCCAAATGGGAGATGCATCGCAGTGATAAACATCTGTGGTTAGCTTAATGTGTCACAGATTAGAAAACTTCACTCAATATGACACTAGAAATGACACCGTCTAAAAATCCATTCACAATGTCATTATACACATAAGGTCTGCAACCTTAACAACTCAAAAGAGCCATTTCTGCTCCTTCTCTTACAACTAAAATGTGTCAGGAGCCCTAAAACGTCCAACAACTGTGATTACCAACTGATGGTCTGTGGACCACTTTGAGTTGTTGAAGCTTTTCCGGCCAGTGAGACTGACGTTAAAAAACTCCACAAGCTCTTCTTTCAGGTGTCTCTCAGATTAACTTGTTTTAAGTAGTTTTAAGATAGCATATTCAGCAGGTAAGRTATTAACTGTTATAACCTTTCCACAGAATCATCCCTCCATCTTTTTAAGTACAAGTRCTAACATTAAAGTGCCTATGACATAAAWTTTTTGTAAYAAATATGAAAGCATTTTTGGAAAGATAACATTAATAACTTACTGCAAAACAAACTGCATGCCCCTGAGAWGAACAGTTGTTGAGATATTTGGGAGTGAAGTAACAGGAAGTGATGTCAAAGGGGAATGTCTGCATATGAACAGAGCGTTGCTACAACGGCTGACAGCACAAACTGAAGAGAAGAATCTCATGTTTCTTTAGATAATACTGAATCACTAGAGAGATGAAGAAGAGTCAGAGTKACAATAGTAWTGTTTTAATAAACAAAGACCAGGGAGTTCCTTTTCATAAACAGTTCCCTTTGATGTCACTTCCTGTTTCACTTTGAGCCAAATTCAAAGGAAAATATGCAAGTTATGTGACAAAATGGGTAAACTCATGTTTTATGCCAATTTTCTTAAAATAAATATCTTTTCTTTGGCTTTCTGTATTTAAAGGATATGCTTGTCAAGTAAAGTAAAGTGAATTTATTAAAAGTGAGAATGAAAAAAAGGGAAAGAGAGGTTTAGGGCTTAGATCTGAGCTRAGCAGACATAACTGGCTTGAATGCACTGATTTATTCTGTTTTATTGACTGACTGAAGATCCACTGTAATTAACAGCTCTGCTTCGACTCTCTGGTGCTCTAYTTGTCTTTGTTTTAGTTCCACAGAGGAATTTTTCCCCCCTTTCTTTCTTTCAGTGGCTGGGGTTATTTTTAGAAACCATTACATAAATCAAGTCCGTTAAATAACTTTGTCTGTGGTCAATGGGAGTYTGTTGTTTATTTGAGTGGAAACCCAGCGTGGCTTTGGGCCAAGATGAGGATGTTGATGATGAGCTTACGAGATAGAAATGAACGGTGGGTGTTGTTTGCTACATAACAATGAGAACTCGCTTTATGCTTCAGAGCAAACAGGCTAAAAAGGACATTTTTGTTGGGGACATATTAAGTCAATAAGGAGATTGGAAACAACTGAGTTATTGTTTCTAATCTTACTCTTCTTTTGATGAATTTCAGACTTCTGGAAAAGAATACTGTACATAAACCCTCCACAAACTCATCTTTGTTTACCGTTTCATAAGTTGAGACGACTCGACGAAGGACGTCTGGCAAAGGCCCCTGGGGCTCCAGGGTGGGGTAGCTGTCCTTTAAGTCAAACAGCAGTAAAGGCGTCCCTTCTGGGCCCGACACACTGGAGCTCAGAGCCAGCACACACTGCATGAGGTTAGCCACAGCTGACACCCCACACAGCTCCCTGAACACTGCTACTGAGTTCTGTTAGAAAAGAGAAATGGTTAATTGAAACATCTTTACACACCGTTCTCCTGTTTTACGTTGATAGAACGAGAGAAAACAGACACTGAAAGATAACAGACCCCAACAAGCAYAGATGGTTAGGAAATCCTTTTTCTTCTTTGTCACAGACTTGAACATTTTTTTCTCTTTTCCACACACAAATAATCAGAGCCAAACCGCGACAAAGCGATTTGCCTCCTTTCAAATGTTCTCCTGCTGCTATGCTGTAGTTTGAAAGAAATCGACAGATGTAGATGTGGCCTTTCTTGCTGTAGTGACAGTAATCAAAGTTTGATCGTTATAAATAATACAAACATCAGACTGGCGCTCAGCTACTACAGATTAGCAGTGGAAAAATAACTCTGTGTAGTTTGCACAAAGTAAATATTGATTCGGCTGAACAATTCTGAAAAAAGGATTGCATTGATTTTTGTAACATTTTACAAAAGTTTCATGTTTTGTAACAGTTACAAACTCGAGAAAGATGCAGTGTCAACACAGGGGTGATGTTAGACTTTTCAGCTCAAGGTATGGACATTAAATGTTTAAAAATGACCTTGCTGGGTTTGTTTTCTGTYTCCCTTGTTGCTTTTTGCCTCATTATGAACTCTCATTTTCATTCTAGCGAGTTAAGAATACACATTTAAGTTTAGACCTTATAAAATACATGGTACAGATTTTAAATGTCATTAATAGTCTCTGTCCCTTTCACAACATGTCAACACTTACTCTCAAATTAAAAGTCAACATAAATAACATAATATTGACTGATACGTAATGACAGATGTGGATTTAGTCATTTTGCCTGAGGCAAAACACTGACAATTGGCCCTCTACTTCCCCTTGTCATTTTTCAAACCATGTTTATCAGAGATTTACTGTAGCTTACTATTAAACATCAGGTGTAAGTCTAACCTGCTAGGTTATTTAAAATTTCAATGACTATGCTGCTAAAATCGAATTCATTCAAGTTAACGACAAATTCTATCAAGCTCAATCAAAGTTAACTGGACTTCTTATTGGTTTCTGATTATAAAATGTCACCATTGTTTTACATCCGTATAGCATTTGTGCAGCAAGACTATGAAACAGTTCCAATAGGGAATGAGGGGGATGCATTTATCTGTTTAGTATTGAGATGTTTTTTTTGGACTACTGCTTTTTGAAACATAAATAACAAAATGAAACAAATTGTTACTAATWTCACAATTCTTCAGTTTGTCCTACCATAGCACTTCCAATGTAGCACAGCAGGATATTTGGTTTTTCTTTTACTTGGACATGTATTAGTGTTGTGTTGGATGAGGAGTCAGAGGAGGAGAAGCTCAAACCACAGAGGTGGAATGAAGGCGTGAATGTTGGATGTTTGTTTGTTTGCTCAATAGGATCAGGCCAGCTGCTCTTCAAAGCTGTGCATTTTGCTAATTTAACAACTTAATAAGCTCCATGATCTATCCATTATTTTAACGCACTTCTTCTTTTCAGGGTCAAAGGTGCCCATATCCAGCAGTCACTGCGCGAGGGGCAGGATACACCCTGGACAGTTTGCAAGTCTGTCACCGAACTTAATAGGTTAATAACTTTAATAACGTCTGGGTATGAACCATTTTAAGCAAAATGACWTAAAAGAATGGGCTGCTCAGGGTGCTGCCCCWGAGAGATGTGCTACTCTACAGTAACACACACCTTCATGAATGGCTGACCAATCACAGGCTGTGATTTGTAAGGTCTGCAGGACATAGTTGACAGAGGGCAATGCACATAACAGGTGTCTGGGGGACAAYAGACAGAAGTTACGCAATGTTTTTGACATTCAACAGCATGAGCAAGATGTGTATAAACCAGCATTAGCGATAAGCCCACTTCACCATTGTGATGCAAATAGGTTGTGGAGATGGAGACAAATCTACAATATTTCTGGTCTCCTAAGGCTCCAGTGACTCAAACTTCATAATGCACTTTGCTCATATTCTGGTCATTTTTTATTTTTTTTTTGTTAACATTTCATATAAAATCATGTTTTTTCAGTGCATGAAGCTGTACTTGATAGGTTGAAGTTTTAAAATGAAGATAAGTGTCTAAAACATCACTGGAATCTAGTTAGACAAGTACTCTATAGTAATTTTTACATTTTCATCTTGGTTAGAATCTGTCGCACGACAGCACGGCCACCGTGCTGATAAAATCTGTCTGCAGACAAGCAGGCAGAAAATGTACACCTGTCAAAGTTTTTAACAGCTCTTTTCTGGAAGATTTAGCATTCTCTGTTATCAAGATGCTTTTTTGAAATGCGTGGCTATAGAAAACAAAATACCCAGGGTGACTCGTCCTCACCTGCATGTTACTTCTCAAATCAGTGGCTTCTCTCAAAAAAGGAGCAGCCATCTTGAAAACCTCATCAACAGACCGAATTCCCATGTCCCTCAGTGCTGTGTACTCTCTCCCCCTCCGAGCCTTCCGCACTGAAAGGCCTCTTTTGTGAGGCTTTCCGCCTCCTCTCCGATTCGTGAGCGCCACGTGGACAAACAGCTTGGCATGTGGAAGGTCCTCCCCTGTGAGACACTGGAGGGGTACATGCCGGTAGCCAGGTTGGAGACACTCCAGTGGTATGGTATACTGACCTGCAGTGGGAGAGAGAAATCATATTTTACTCTGGTATTATGGATGTTTACATCATGGGTAAAAATTTGTCTTGTTACATTTATAGGTAACCCTTGACTGACCTATGAATTCATCTCCAATGAAGTCGTCATCCAGCACYACAAAGCGAACCATAGCTAGCTCAGGTAAGTTGATCTGGAACTCAAAGCTTTCATCGAASACTGGGTTGTCTCCGTTATGGGTCACAGTCCTGGTGCGGCGCTCTGTGCAGTCAGCTGGGATGCCATGGATCTCCACATACACATACGGGTCCACCACGTCCCCTTTGGCCCCTGAGCCTTTGGGCTTGGGCAGATTCTGACCACTGATTACCTGAAAGAAGAAAACTCATAGGAACATTTGTTTCCTCTAAGTGGGAATGAGTTAGGCTGCTGAGATTTGGTTTAAAATGTGTTATATTTTTAACTATTTTAACTGGACAACCTAGTTTCTAAAGATAAAAAACAATATGAAAGACAAAATTTGATAAATAATGTTTGGAAACTGGCAGTGAGATTTAGAAAATTGCACAAGGGGCACCAAATGGACTAGAGCCAACCCTGCCCCCAAGTAATGCTAACGTTTAATGAGATGGCATCACTACCGTTCAATAGTTTTTTTTGATTTTAGCAGGATTTTAATTGTGTGTCATCTACCTTTACATGCAGCAGCTGTGGAGACACGCCAGGTACTGTGTCTTTGGTGTCAGCGCAGAAATAAGACACTTCCTGACGCATAATGGCCGGACGCAGAACATAACCACAGTTCCCATTCTGCCGGAACCAGGCCGTGTTCAGGTCCATCATCAGTCCTGCCGTTTGAAAATTCATTGACACAATCTGACAGCCGCACTTCCACAAGTCCTGGGGGTTCATATTGCTCGAGTCGATGCGCATGGGGTTGGGGTAAACTCGCGACAGGAAATGCTTGTTGTGGTTGACAAAGTCACCRGGGCTTTCACTTGCAAGACGCACAGCCAGCGACTCATGAAAGGAACACATTTCCCAAGGTTTTTGGGATTTAGATGACGTTTTAAAGTCTACGAAGTTTACAGAATGGCATAGGGTTACCAAATCAGAGAGCTCCTTCAACAGCTGGAAACGTTTGGGATGAACATGAGAAGCACTAGACTGAGCTGTGAGACACATACTCATCTGCACAATCTCCTTCTCAATCCCACAAGATGCTCCACTGCTACTGTTCGCTGCTTTCACCTTCTGACACATTTCTGCTCCTTCATCTTCCTCACTCACCTCCCCCGCCTCTCCATCAGAACCCGACCCGAGCTTTTTACCCTTTAGCAGTATTCGGTGCCTCAGGTCATCTGGTGATTGCAGATACGTGGCCCCTTCATCTGGCAGATCTCTATACAGCCACTCCCCCAATATCCTTGTGAGTTGTTGCAACAAAACCTTTTGCTGTTGCAGTGAACAGTGGTTTTCAATGCACAGAATTAATGGATACTCTGACGCTACGAAAGCAAACTTTCCAATTGCTTCTAAAACAGAAAGCAAGGCCAGTGGCGGGGAAATGGTGTGCCCTGTGCACACTATGGGTTCCCCATCTGCACCGTCCCAGATGTCCAGCTCCACGCATCGGCAACCCATCTTAAGAGCACGAATGTAGCCAGAAACGTCCGCKGGGCCTCGAAACTGGTCCTCAATGAGGTAGGTGTTGTGGGAGGAGTTGATGTAGTAGTGAGACAATGGCTGGGACATGTCCTGGCAGATGTCGCGGTGCTCTCGATCGAACAGGTGGCACTCGGTTGAGGTGAGGTAGCTGGTGAAGCCATCCAAAGACAGGCGCCCCAGCTGCTGTCCCTCCTCCGATGGCTCATGGGTCTGGATGAGCTTCAGGCTTGTTTCTTCGCTCACCTGGACAGATCACAAGAAAATGTAGAAATGAAAGAAAAATTAGAAGCCAAAGAACAGAAGCGCTACATGTCCCTATCCTTCCAACCTGGAAGCTGTAGATTATAGTCCAATAACAATGCCTCTGAGCAAAATCAAAATATTCACAATTTATGGATGCAAATTATGTGCTTGTAAATGTTTAATCCTGTATATAACTGTGACAGATGTTATGATGTCTTTGACTTGTTTTCTAGATTATGTGTGACTAATTTGTGTCACCCACTTGAGCCACGCCCTGCTCCGCCTCGATGAACCTCATTAGGTCTTTGGCATCCAGGTACTCTTTGTTGCTAGAGAACTGCACCAACAGAAAGTAGATCTCTGGGCGGGTGCAGAAGTCGTGGAAGGCCTCCATGAACTCCTTCTTGGTGACGCGCCCGTCTCTGACGGTTCGCTTTTTGCTCGGGCTCTGGTCTTTCAGTCCCGAAGCGTTTTCCACCGCGGGCCCGCCCGTCTTCTCCCTGACTCTCTGCAGCTCTCTAAACCTGTGCTCCACCTTGACGGCGCTCACCCCAGGGCTCACGTTTTGCACCAGCTTAACCGCCGACTGCAACGGAATCCCTTCCTCGATGTCCTCGGGTCTGTCAGACGCAGCCGCCGAGGAGAACAACTGCTCCAGCCAACGGAGGCGAAGACTGTCCTGGCTGTTGGCAAGCATGTCGATGGCATGTTTTCCATACTGCATAAGATACCTAGAAGCAGATAAGAAAAGGACAGACATGGATGATGCAGCAGAACATAATACTGTAAATAATTTAGTATAATAAACAGGGATTTAGTCCCAAACAATCAAACAAAACTAAAACAGAAAAAATGTTATTATTCTGAGTGAAATGGAGTCTTTAGATCTGGAAATAAATATTTAACTGAGAACTCAATTGGTTTTCTGCGTGTTATTCAGGTTACCAATCGGAACATTTTCTTACAGGCCATCATTTGAATAGCCCCGGTTTAATGATATTTTAAATAATTGTATTGTTTTTATTGACTTTTTACATGTTCTTAGAATTAGGGTTGGACCAAAAAATATTTTTGAGAGATATTTTGTTGCATCATCAAATTACCGTATTTATTCGTGTATGATACGATCTCATGTATAATACGACCCCCCCTTTTTTGAGCTTAAAAAGCATAAAAAAATTTAATCCTCAAACTACCTCCAATGTCATACAGACTTCAAGATTTTTCAGCCTTTGCAGTCTTTATACATATCAGTAAAATGATCATTGGACTGTTCATTTTATTTTAACAACATATGTACTAAAAGGTATTTTGACAACAAGTATATATCAGCAAACTATGATTTTGAGCATCATATGAATTCTGTCATTTTACATATAGTCCACCAGGATGCGCCAACACAAAAGTCAGAGACTTCACATGAGATTTGGGCCATCTTCTGGGGGAAAAGCAGATTACTTCCTACACGCAAGGGCCTCCTCTGGTGGGAAAACCTTTTTCAGGGATACAAACTTTCTCAAAACACCGGTAGACGGCAGTCATTACAGACGAACAAGTGTTTATTGTTGTTCGAGGAGCGGCCCGGTTACTCGCTAATGTCATTAGTTCGTTAACATTACTAAGGTGCAGGACTACTTTTCCCCTCTTTTTTTCACATCATGTCACCTGCCTGGATCTGTTAGTTTCTCACTCTCAAGCACGGAGGAGTGTCATAGGTAAGCTCGTTTCAGCTGCTTTTTATGTCTCATTTCCAGACTGAATGAAGCCGATATTTCAGTTAAAATACATAAGTAAAATATTTATCCGAGTATAGTACTACCCCCCAACTTTATGGATGATTTTATGGATCAAATTTTACRTATTATACTTGAATAAATACGGTATTTGCATTAAAAATTATAAGTGGAATGTCTTTTTTTWAAATCATTTAACATTCAAGTGTACAGTATAAAGTTTCTCTTGGGCATTTGTGTTGCCATACCTCAGCCCAGTCACCCAAATGTTAGCCACTTCAGCAGAGTTAGCCACCAGGTCCAAGCTTTCATAAATCTCTCCATAGATGATGGAGAACGCACAGTCCTCTGAAATCTGCTCATAAACTCCACTGGTGCGGAAGGTTTCTGTGTTACGACCTGTCCGTACCTACAATTTGTGACCGCAAGAGATGCATTAAAACCCCCACATCAGACACAATAAAAGCAAATTACATGTTCTCTTCCATATGGTTCAGTGTTTTAAACACATCTATAGTGTTACTCTAAAATGACTCTTGGGTCATTTATGAAGCAAAGTTTAAAAAGCCAGCATTGGATGATTGATTTTGAGCTTGTTTTTGTTCACACTGACCTCTCGTATCGAGTCGAGCGAGATCCGAGCTTTGTCTGACTCTTTCTTGGATGGTTCCCAGTACAGAGCCTGGAGGCCYGCATCCAGAAGGTAGTAACGTTGGTAAACGCGGGTGCTGGGTCGGATTTTCTTCAGCTCACTCCCCTCAACCTGGGAACAAGATGCAGATGAGGCTGTCAACCACGGGTCTCAGCGGATCTCCTACAGTATCAGCAACAAGCTTTGATAGATCCTTGACATGTCTAAAAGCTTTTTATACACCAGAATTCTTGGATGTTTGTTTGGCGTTGGAGCTGCACATTCATAGGAAAATCTGCATTTACAGCCCTGATTTTAAAAAAAGGTTAGAACATGGTGTAAAATGAAAAAAAAAAAACAAAAAAAAAACAGCAAAATTTGCTAATCTCATAAACCAAATATCCATATCAAATTGTATCACTTTTGGAGAAAAAATCAACAAGTTAGAATTYTGTGGCAAGAACAAGGCTGTAAAATTTAGTGTTATGAATAAAAACAACTAAAGGAGATTTTTGCAATGAATTAAGTTAGCTCAGAAGAGGTCAGGAAAAGGAGCGGTTATAGAAAGTGGATTTTATAGAAGCTATATCTTTCATGAATATGCAAAAACGGGAAGATTTCTAAGGTTTAATCATCTACAAATGTACATTTTCTTGTTTAACCAGTTGATTATGAAAAAAATATGGGTTCATGAGATGCATTACATTTTACAAAATGTTCCAACTTTTTCAGCAAAAGAGTTTGTTTGATATAATTTCCTACAATTGCAATATTAGTTGAGATAAACTTTTCTCATTCTCTTCTGTCACAGCACATTGTTTTCTTTATCATCCCAGCCACGTCATTTACATCTGATTTGGGCATCAAGGGCAGTGAGGGCCCATCTGATTGGCCAATTACTGTTTATAATTGTTGTGCAGAGTGCAAACGTAGGACACTTGACATGTGGATTACTGCACTCTGAGCAGTTCTTTGCTAGGACTCTAAAGGTTTGACATGTTGTGCATCATAAAATGAACCAAAAACTTGATTTTTTTTTTTCAGAAGTGTATCAGACCGACCATGGAGTGGATGCATCCGGCAGCACTGCTGATCTTCTTCTCAGACAGGCTGCTGCTGAAGGACACGGTCTTCTTTTTCTCCCGACTGGCTCGTGAGCCATCCTTAAGGGGAGGGAGGGGAAGGAGTGAAAGATTAAAAAGGGGAGGAGGAGAGTGCAATAAGTTCATAAAATATATTCCAAAGGAAAGACAGAGATCGACCATAATGTTTTTGGAAAACTACCAACTTCTAGCATGACAAACATTTTTTCCGTAGTCCACAATGGACATCAAAGGATTAAAATCCACGTCCTTATATAACCATACAGATTATTGTCCATCTATGGTACAGCCTCCTCTTCCCAATCTGTAATTGTTTTTTTTTCTTTTTTCCCAATGCCATGCTTAAAAGCCTTTGCTTGTCTTTGCCCTTCACCACCATACCATTAATCATACCTGACTAGACAGAGGCAGCAGGCTGCAGCATTCTAATCCTGCCCCGTTCACGACAATGCTGGCAGACTCCAATCAGTTTATCTGAGCACGACATCACAGCTTCCCATTTGATTTATTGACCAATTAGACGCCCCGCCCACAAAGAGCCTTCTGCTAACAGATAAGMCCATGTAGCATGTGGGCAAAAATAATTCAATTGTCCTGATGCAACTTAATAAAAGAACCAAGTGAGGTCAGTTTTAAGGCAGGATAAGCCAGATAATTTGATTAGTGTAGATTCAATTCCATGCAGTGTCATTGGAAATGCAATCAAATAGGTAACAATGTATCTCTTTAAAAAAACATAAAAGTACACACATGCTGCCTTTTATGTTGAAGTTGTAGCCTATGTTGAGAAAAGTTACACTTTAGTTAAAGATTAAAAAATAATGTGCAATCTCAGCCAATTCTGCAAGATGTCACATWCAGAGAACACGTTGTAAACAACTTTTATCTACAGCCACATCAAATCCGAGCTCAAAATCTTTCAAACTGACTGAGTTACAGACATTTTGGTGTCGTCTAAGATCGCCTGTGCGGGGGAAGTCCTTTTGATCATCTTTAAGCAAATTAAGGTTATTATGTTAACAGTGAACATCTGCCATCCCTGATCAGATCTTGGTCAGTCTGACTTCATTCAGACAATAGAGCACTCATGTCTTTCATATGGGATGACAAGCGAGAACCCTCCATATGAAAAAAAAAAAAACATGAGGGACATGAAAGGCTGCAAGAGATAACAGGGATAAATAGAGAGATAAAAAATATACATAAAGACCGGAGCTGTGTTTTATCTGAAGAATGCGGATGAGTAGGAGGAGACGATAAGTTATTCCTCTGTTGAACGGGAGGGAGGTCATCAAATCCTCACAGAATCAATGGTTTCTTTTTTTTTTCTTCCTTTTTTACTTGAAGAGGGAAATGGGATGTTATGAGAGAGCTCTACAAATATCCCTTGTCCCTTAGGCTATGATGGAGAAAGGCCGAGGGTGTGGACGAGCTATAGATTCAATTTAATTGCAGGGAGTGAAAGAGAAGCAGGATGTCTTTCATTTCTAGCCCCTCAAAAACAAAACAAGTCATCCATTAACACTGTGAAACGCTGACTATTAAATGAGCTTATTTGAAACWCATCAGGCTGGAGGGCTTCAAGCTTGTGAAATCACCCCTAGATAGAGTAGAGATGGATGCAACGCGAGGAGTTGAAAAGCTAATCGGGTTTCATATTTTGAAGAGAAGCACACTCAATTTGAGAAAAAAAAAAACAGACACACCTTTTCAAAGTAGAGTGGTTCCACCCATCCTGCACACTTCTATTTTTCTTCATTGGCAGATTGACGTTAGCTTCAATCTATACCTCTATGCATGGAAAACTGCACTTAATGGGCCCTCTGGGTGTATCAGTCCCAGATGCTAAGCATATATTACCTAATAGAAACATAAACTAAACACTCCAGCGCATCATCCTTCACTAATGAAGTTGTGGGCAGAAATCAAGCAGATGAAATGAATATGTTTCATTCAAGTTACAGTATCTGAAGATGAAAATTAGCACTAGTTTTGGATTTAGTTCTCATCAGCTGGAGAAGCTGTCCGGCTGGTGGCCAGCAGCATTAATAGATCCACTGCAAAAACTGTCCACCTAACCAAGTTTTAAAATCTTATATCCAGCCAAAACATCGTTTTGATCTTGTTTTGAGACTGATTTGCTAAACAAGAACTGATTGTGTAAGAATAATAATCTTGTTTTCAGAATGTATAAGATTATTTGTCTTGTTCGTCTGAAAATTTGACTCAAATTAAGTCAAAAATTTCTGCCAGTGGAGTAAGAAAATTTTACTTGGTAAGATTCTTCAAAGATCTCAATGGGTCTTACCTGGTAAAATAATGGTTAATAAAATAATAACTAAAAAACTGAGTCAAATCAAGTATTTCAAGAATCTTACCAAGTAAATTTTTCTTACTCCACTGACAGAAATTTTTGACTTAATTTGAGTCAAATTTTCAGACTAACAAGACAAATAATCTTACACATTCTGAAAACAAGATTATTCTTACACAATCAGTTCTTCTTTAGTAAATCAGTCTCAAAACAAGATCAAAACAATTTTTTGGCTGGATATAAGATTTTAAAACTTGGTAAGATGGACAGTTTTTGCAGTGTGTATACTCTGAATAAATGATCTCGTCAAGAGAAAACTAAAGGCCATACAAAATTCTTGCAGCAAAACTCACATTTAAATGAAATAAAAAATTAACACGTGGGGGGGGGAAGAAAACAAGTTCAGCCTTCATCCCCTGATAAGACGTCCAGTTTTCTTCCACCTAATCTCTGTGCTGCATGTTTGCTTCATGGCGGTCCTAATTTGTTTTCTCACGTAAAGCAAGATGAGTTTTCAAAACCACTTGAAAACAGGAAGCAGCCCATCACAGTCAGTTTCCTGTAACTCCACAGAGAGCTGAGACGAGTGACAGCACATGGGGTGGGGGGGACAACGAAAAACGACGTTGTGCAAAAGCCACAACACTCGTGAATCTTGACATRGTTCGTGCTATTTTTAGTTTTGAGACTGATGCTAGCTTGTGATAAAGACACGGTGGATGCCCAAACTTTCCATCTTCAATACTAGCCGTGAGCACGCTGTCCTCAAAATGTCATGTCAGTGAAACACGTGGAGCTTTAAGAAAAAATTACATAAATTTTTTTTCTTGTTGCTGCTGCTGTCAATTGGCAACAAATGAGCAAAATAAAGCGATTGAACAAAATAATTCAAAACATAGTTCTTATCTTCCCGCTACTATTCAGCTTTCTAAAATGTTTAGCTGCAATCAGTTATTTCATCTATAAAAGAAATGTTGTGTGGCTGTGATTGTCTTAAAGCTCCACATTGTTAGTGCACAGGCTCTGGTTTTAAAAAACAACAACACRCAACCACGTGCAAAGGTGCGGAAATAGAAGATGGCTATATCAACCAGTTTCACACAACGTATTCCATTCATTTAAGGTCAGGCCTATGAAAAGATTTAAATTTAATCAAGTTAAAAAAACTCCAAAATAGACCCAAAGTCCAAATTTGAACATTTCAGTTTCCCCTTACATGCAGTTTTTCCAAAGAAACACAAGATGACAAAGACACTAAACATAAAATGTTTCAACTAAACAGCACAAAAGTAAGGAAATGTGTGTTTGCTAGATCAGTTATTTGTTATAACAATGCTTCTTGGTAATTGGGCACCTGATTGGCAGCACCTGGGGGTACCAGATGCTCAAAACAGCCAAACAGCAAAGTAAGCTGTTTGGTAGGGAAGACTTGGCAATTTTTTATGTGCGTAACCCACTTACTCAGCTCTACTGCTCATCCCACAAATGCATGTTCCTTACAAATGTGGCACCATTTAAAAGGGAAATGAACAGGCTTTCCAACATTATTAGATTTATTGCCATGAAGCATTGTYACAACAAAGAAATAATCTACCAAACACAGATTTCCTTACATTTTGTGTTAARTATAAATAGTGGAAAGAGCTAAATGATGTAGATTAGCTCCAGCTGAGGAAGTCGATTGCTGTGAATCATCAGTGAGAACAATATGAGCTTCTGTTTGGTATTCTGTGGAAGGCACCAACAAGGTCTGGTGCCTTCATTAGGCAGCTTACATGCACGCACGGTACGATTTGTGAAAGCTTCTGAACACGAGTTTGTATCACTAATTACAGCTTCTCCAAGTCAGCAGAAGGAAGATGTAGGTCATTAGTGGGTGGCGTCTTTGATCCGATAATTAAAACTGAGAGAAGGAAGGAACAGTTGCTAGGTGAGAGAAAGCGGAGGGGTGAAAATCGGTAAGGTGTGTGAACGGCGTTGCCTGTTGTGTGTTCAAGTGTGTGTGAGAGAGAGAGAGCAGATGACTGATGCTTAACGGGATAGTTTATTTCAAGAGCCCGTCACCCCGGAGCACAGCAGCACCAGCAGGGTTAGGAGGAGATCATTTGTTTACATGTCAGATGTGAATAAATGTATGTGCAAGAATCTTTTTTTTAAAATAGAGATTTAATTTTAACCGTAAGCAACACTGCAACATTGTATTAAAACATTTTAAAACCAGCTAATCCCATCAGAYGCTCATTGTGGGTCTACCTAGAGTGCTCTGCATCACAGGGATGATTATATTGGGAGTAACCATGGYAACAATGTCAACGCTTTATTTCACCGTTTAGTTTTAATCAATGGTACTACTCTTAACAAGGGTTTCTCAGGTAAACAACTCTTTTTTTACACAGAAAATGATGGARGGAGAATAAAAGTTTTCCTCTTCGTTGGTTTTATTCACCTTCACTGTTATTCTTATATAAGCACTGTAGGGATAATTTAAATGAAACAAAACAGAAGTATTTACTGTTAATTCATGTTATGTGTTGCATTTATTTAGCCGTATTTGGTTTCCAAGTTTTATAGTCTTGTCGATGTCAAAACTAACATTTTTCAAAGCCTGAACCAAATGATCTTCTTTATCCCCTAGAAAAGCTTAAAATGTATTGTGGTCTTTTTTCTGTTGTGTTTTTACCTTTATATATAGATACATAGGGGTGCAACAATACAAAAAAAATCACCATTTGGTTYGGTTCGATAC